GCACAAATAACACCTTACACCGTATGTTTTAGAGAAATATAAGGTGGAAATTTAATGATATTTGAGCCCTTTAATTAAGGTGACCTAAAACGTTTGCAACAGAACTGCACTATACTTTGTTAGTATATTTTACTGATTAAAACTAAATTCATTTTTGGTTATTTCCAGGAGATGAAAAAGGTTTGTGAATATGAAATTGGTGGGTCAGGTTTGTTACCACTACACAACAAGTCCTCGTTATCACCAGAAGAGATTAGTTCTGATACTGACTCTGAAACCTTAACGACTGCGTGCCATCAACCAAGCTTCCTTCACATGCATCCACATTTGACTTCATGTAAGCAATTAAAAGCTATGTGTAGTAAAGCACATTTGGTGATGAGATTAATTGAAACGAGAATTGGGCAAGAACCATTACTTCAGGTGAAAAAAACTTTTGTGTGTTTATTTCTACCAAAATACAAATTTATAATTCAAATGTTCCCAGAAAGGGCGGTTGTTTGGAAGAGTTAGTGAACAGATACATAGAAATTTTCGAAGTATAATAATTCACACATACATATTACCTTATTAAAGGTTCCAACTTGAGTCGAAAATGCCCAGGGAGCATAAGTATAAGGAAGTCTACATAGGTGTTCTATGTTTTTGGCAATTATATTTACTGATGCCATTCTTGAATTTTAATATAATATATTTTGCTTTCTTCACACGTGCCATTTGCTCAATATCGAAACTAACTCACCAGAACTTCCATCACCCTAAAAGGTTTTGTTATTCTTATTGAACCTGGTTATCACATCCGACTACCTTTCTGTGTGTGCTTTTGTTTGAGATCTTATCCCCATTGCTACAAAGGACAAAATATCCCACTACCGTCGCCAATATTATACCGAATATTTTCAAGCAGTGGTGGATTTATAGGATTGTTGCACTGTACACTCCTGTTGGCCTTGGGCAACAGGGATGCATGGGGTGTGCAAAATATTGAATTTATCTTACTTTTAAATGTTTGTGGCATTCAAAGTTTGTTCTCAGACTTAAGTTTTGGAATTCAAGGCAGCACCACAGCACCAATTCAAAATACTTATTAGTCCAATATTAATATTTTTAGTCGGATACTTTGATTGAGTATAACATTGAAATGAATGTAACTGGAACGCCACCTTCAGATAAAACTGTCTATCTTTTTCTTGAAGCCAAACGCGTGTTTATGTCATGATTGACTGATCGAGCGCTCTTCGCATGCATGAAAAGACTGGGAGTGGGAAACTTCCGATTGGATGTAGTGTTCCAATTCTATCCAATTCAATGTTGAATAATGAAGAAAGCAAATTCTTAATTTGGCTGCAAACATCTAACATTATAGTATTTGATAATGAAAATATAAAATAGAAAAGCAATCAATATTCAAGTGTGAAAAATTAAGAGAATTGGGAATTTATATTTTATATATTATTCAACATATCTGTAAATTGTGGCCAAAACTCGTTCCAAAGGCCCAATAATTCTTGGGAGGTTTGGGGTCATGCCCCCCGGAATATTTTTAAAATTTCGATCCCGGAAATGACATCGGCAGCATTCTGAGAACAAATTTTGTAAAAAAAGCGTTAATAAATTTACATAACATCCACTACAATTAGCATTTTAGTTCCTGTGCAACTTATTATGCTCCATGGACTTGAAAATACGTTCTAATTTTCCTCGTTATTGTAATTACTTACAATAGTAAAATATCCTTTGAACATTATATATAGTCATTATTTAATATGACAATTACGTTATATAGGTGTGATTTGTGTTATTTGGTACAAGATTTTTGCAGTCTTTCAAAATTATTGGGGAGGGGGCTCGGCCCCACCCCTGCCGCCCTCCCCCCTGCCATAGTGTCCGCCACTGGGTTCGATGTGCTTTGCTGCTCGCCCAGCTCCCCCCATAAAAAACTTTGCTGGATCCACCACTGTTTCAAGACCGAAAATTAATTGAAAATTAGGTACACGTGTTATCGTCTTGAACACACAATTTGGCACGCACTAATTCATTTACTAACGCTGAATATAAAGTGTTCCTTGTCTGGAGTTAATATTTTTGTTGGACTTTTACAGGTTTATAATAAACTTCTCTCACTCGCAAAATCTGCTGTTAAATCAAAAGACATAAATTCCTGGCGAAATATGCTATTGTCAACTACGGGGGTAAGTAGGATTAACACTTATACTAGAAATACATGCAAGACGCCACCAATGAACGCAAGCTCGCGTTTCTCGCGTCGTGGTAGCCATGGTAACACGAATGCACGATCATTGTTTCATTTTTTGTGCAAAACGACAAAGAGGTATCAGTGCTTAGATCCATAGTTTTAACTGAACGACTAACGCTTATCATCGTTACCATCAGATTTTAAGAAAAGTTAAGTGGACTCTTGATTGATACATGGACATCATGCAATCTCGTACCAAGGCCATCGTTAAGTGGCTCTGGCCACACAGGTTTGAAAAACGATCCTGATTGGTCGATTTATTGGACCCATACCCCCTGTGGTGTTAACGAGCGCGGCCAATATGAGTGAATATGATATATTTTGCTTTATTCTGATTGAAAATCGACTTCTTTTGACGATTTTTTGTTGCTTTTCGATAGGATAGTGAATTGTTTTATGTTAGTTCGACATGCACGAGACCTATATTTGGCCGAAGCTCTAGTATTATGATCGTGAACTTGATTGTTCGAAATAAATAAGTTTTCAAAGGTAATAAATCACGGCTATAAATATATACATAAATATACCTATACTATACTGGCTATACAATGAGTATTTAGTTTGAAGATACCTAATATATTTAATTTTTTGAAAAGCGGAGCAGAATGCGCACGGTAATCTGAGTTAGTCATTGTTCTAACAGCTCGCTTTTGCAAAAGATAGATGGACAACTGAGTATTAAATGCCATCTTGACTTAAAAGTCGCCGCCAAATTTGCCGTGATGTTTCGACAAAAATTTGCCGTGATGTTTTGATAAAAAAGTTCGCGTGATGTACCCAATTCGCCGTGGCACTTCTGGACCGCTTAAAAAAATGTTGTTTCCTCATGTTTTTTTCCCGTGGCCCTTCTGGGAAACCGCTAACATTTGCTGTTTTGTTTCCATAAATATTTGCCGTGGCACTTCTAGGCCGCTTAAGAAAATTGTGTGCATACATTGTACAAAATGCATTGCGAAACCGCGCAAGAACTGAGCTCACATGTGCTGAGAAAACGCAAGATGCAAGAAGGTCAACGCGAAGCGCGAACGTAATGATTCTTGTTAAACTTTTCTTGTACAAAATGTGAGAAATAATTATTGGCAAAATGTTTAAATACGCTTGTATGTTTTATAACTTCTTTTTGTTTCTTTACTTCATAGTTTCTTCGTTCAATCTCTATTGTCTCAGGAAAAGATCTCAACGTTTTTGTGGATCAGTGGATGTATCCTCATCATATTATGTTTCTGTACTGATTTCTCCAAGTCCGGGAGTGGGAGGTTGATTGAAAATTAGAAATTCTTTCTGTCCATTTCTTGGAACCATACAGCATGTAACCTTGTGTGGTCGAACAAGAGAGTATACTATAGCTTAATCCTTCATTATTTCAACTGTTACATAAGCAGATCGGAAGTCTTGAAAATACCAGTCTTTTGGGCGCTGTCAATTTCCCAAGACTGGGCCAAGTAGTTTAATGGAATTTTTAGTTAACAGTTATTCGCCGAAGGCGAGGTGATAATCACCGTGCCTGAGGCGAATAATTGTTTTAGTATTTTTACACAAGTCTTTTGTGTTTTTTGGGACTGAATTTATTTTAATTTCTCTTATTTCTTTATCAGTAACTTGAAAACTTCCACAAACCTGGTACCCCGACATTTTGCCGAAAGACACTTTGCCGAAAGACATTTTGCCGAACGGACATTTTGCCGACGGTCATTTTGCCGAACGGACGTTTTGCCGAACGGATAGTTTGGCGAACGGACATTTTGCCGAACGGACAGTTTGCCGACTTGCCGAAAATAAAGATGTTATTTCGTCAAAATGTTTGGGACTGTGACTCATTTCTCAACTGTGTAATTCTCAACCATTGTGTAAAATAACCATTATATGGTCATTAGCAGTGCATAATGGTCATTAGCAGAGCATGACGGTTGTTAGCAGTGCATAACCATATTGACTATTGGAAGCTTGTTTGTGCAGCGGATGACTCATTTGTTATAGGAACGTGTCTTGACGTCAGATCGTAAACAAACAAGCGTATATAAAGATGACGTGAGCAAATTTCACTTCGAGAATCATGGAATACATTCACTGCAGTTTTCTCGGGGAAATCACATTCATGAATGATGTTGAATGATGTTATTCTTTATATCGCGAATTTTCGGTAAACTTGTCAAAAACGTGAAAGAATATAAAACGAAACTATACCTCACTATCAGAGTTTCTGTCATCAAAATCGACAATTAATAACTTTAATCACAGAAACTTTGACCGTGTAAGCGAACCTTTAAAGTTCAGAAGATGTTTCTATTTTCGGAAAAATGTCCGTTCGTCAAACTGTCCGTTCGTCAAACTGTCCGTTCGGCAAAATGTCCGTTCGACAAAACGTCCGTTCGGCAAAACGTCCGTCGGCAAAATGTCCGTTCGGCAAAATGTCTTTCGGCAAAATGTCTTGCGGCAAAGTGTCTTTCAGCAAAATGTGCGGCCACCCTGTAGGTGAATATAACAGCTTAATACGTCAAATTTGACCAATCAACTTGTAGGATTTGTTATGTTCACTTGTGCAAAAATACTAATCTTTAATATTCACCCCATACGCATGGGCATTAAAGTTGGCAGAGTATCCTCAGGTACTTAACATTGGTTACAGATACAGATCTGGAGTAGTATCATTTTCTGGTCAATTTGTGTTTAACCGTAAACGTAATATTGTGGAATTGGATCTGATCCAAGACTTGAGAAAGGGAACGTTCAAATACATGGTAAGAGAACTGAATCAATTGACTTAAGGAGGTTCGGATCAAGAAAGAGTTTTAGCAGCGAGTACATCAGTGCAAGTACGACATTCGACCACGTGCGACTCCCCTATGGTGCGAGGAAGTCGTAGTGTTCTCGTTTCCGTTCAAATGTTGCTTTAGCATTAAACAAACAACGAGAAAGAAAGTCTCAATAAAACTATAGTCCCTTCTATGAGGAACAAAAATTAAGTCCAAACAAGTCATGAATAAGTTTGGTTCAAAGCAAGCCAGCTATTTAGTGTTTAATAATATACATAAAAATATTACTCGACTGTGATTGGTTGATTTCAGTACAGTTAATCACAAACAGCAGTGAAAAATTCTGTAACAACAGTGCAAAAATCTGTAAAAAACTGATCTGATCGGTGGAAAAACATTGTGATGATAAAATCAACCAATCAGTTAATAAAAGCAGTTTAGTTTAAAGAAGTAACGGTCACAGATTACTTCAAAACAAAACAAACATGGCGCCGCGCTACATAAAGTAAAAGTTGACTTCGCGTGGAAAATATGACTTTTATCTTTATTTTTAAATGGAAAAGCCTAAAACAAGACAAACAAAACTTACACTGTTGAGTGGAATTTTCAAGCTGTTAGCGTTGTATAATGCCATATAACAAAACCAGGAAAACTTTGCCAGTGCATGAATGTTCGCTATAAACTTAAGTTAAAACTACAATTGTCTCGAACATTTTTATGTAAATTATTAATAAGTAATAGCATGGTTTCTCGTGAAATTTGGATAAACATGCACTCGTGAGTTTTTCAAAGTTTTTCACTCGTGCATGTTATATCCAAATTACACTCGAAACCGTGCTTTCCCTAAAACGTTGATTTCAAAATTTAATTATTTTTTAAATATTCAACGATACAAAGTCTTCTTAGGATTATAAACCATCAATCCATTTCTCACAGACGTATAAAAATTTTGAATCTAGGATTTGGGAGGGACTTTCACCATGTTTGTTGGCATATCCTGTTTTCCCGCGCTCACCCACGGTAAATATGCAGCTCAAAATTTCTGGAATAATTTTCGATTACGCTTTCAAAAAATGCGCCGGATAAACGCTAGGGTTATAACAAATAGTTCTATAATTTTTTGCAGAAAAACAAACAAGAAATCAACTTTCTTTGTTTTTCAGAAAGTCGATAACCTACAGCTACAAGTATATATTTCACGCAAAATGACGAATCTTGTACTCGTAGTCGCTGCTAAACCTCTCTGTTATCTTGGAACCTGCTTAGAAAAGAACGAATGAGAAACTATAAGCTTACGGTGCAACAAATTAAGCGACTCAGATAGAAAAATCACACTGCAAACTGATATAAATAGCCTGATTCTTCATTAAATTTGCTGTAAAAATTTGCGTGGCATCATCTTCCTAATGCCGTAAGTAGTGATAGACCCCCGTCTGGAGTTCAAAGGGATGCCGCCAATGACGTCACGCTGCTCCGAAAGTAATTAGTATGCAAAATATGTGACGTAACTTTGCTGGCCCTAACCCTAACCTTGGGCCAGGTAGCGCGACCAATTAACGCGGGCAGGCCTGGGCCAACTGTGACAGGTAGCGCGACCAATTAACGCGGACAGGCCTGGGCCAAATGTGGCAGACGATCAATTAGCATCACAACTAGTTTCTGAAATAGAGGTATGTCGATTTACTATGACTTGAGGTTTGAGGAGTGTTTTTTACATTTACAGATGTTGCTAGCGTTCCCATATGTAATATTTAAATCCAGGTCTGCCATATGAAAAATAGAGAATATGTTATTGTCTGGAGTTCTATAAGCACAGCTATAGCATTTTGCTGTTATTGTCAAGTGATTTCTATAATTTAGCTCATAGAGGAATAAAAAATTTGATACTATATGAAATAGCATGAGTGTTATATATCTTAAACTTATATATTCGGGGTATACAGCTATATGTTTTGTTGTTAAGTAATATGTAAATATTATCAAGCGTCAAAACGCTGAGGAGTAGCATGCGGTAAGAGTTATGTATTTACTATTAAACTAATATTTAAATCCCGCGGTCTGCCATATGGGATCTATATACGAGAGAATATGTTGCTGTCTAGAGTTATATAAACACATGATATATAATTGTCAAGCGATTTCTATATTTTAGTGCTAGGTTTTTAAAGTACTGAACTCGGATAAGGTTAATAAATTTAAGCTATATTAAAGCACACCAGTTGCTATGTGTTGTAGGGTGAAACTAATTAAAGGATTAATTTTTATCAGAGATTTGCATTTTCTACTGTGTGGATAAATACGGGTAGATTAGGATATTCATTGCGCGGGCGTCGCGGGTTATCCGTGCGGGTTGGAAATACAACAATAAGGAGGCTTATATTGGAAGAGAGAAAGCAATTTAGACAAGACAGGAGCGCTTTGCAGTCAAAAGTTTACACAAGAATTCAGTCTTAAAATACATTTATTTCTTCGAGACGTTTACAAAGTTAATGTGGTCTACTTCTTAGAGCATAATATGTTTGATTTTATTTAAATTACGCACAACAATTTAAATGTTTTTTGTAATAAGAGCCGTTTGGCTTAGTTGTTCATTCGCCATGGTTTCTTTAACAAAGGTTCGGACCGTTGGCTCGTCTTCGTGCAGATTCACCCACTTCATACGACCCGTAGATTGGTTCACTATTTTAACAGGCCAATAATTTTCTCCGCCGATGTAGACACCCGGATGGCTAGGATCAAAACTATTGCGCGATGACTTATACATCTCGGTGATAGCATATCCTTCTGGAATGTTACGGACCACCGGCGCTCCCAAACTGTAGTTTTGCCACTCGGGAATAGTTGCATCCGACCAGGTAATATACCTCTGATGTTTATGTTGTTTTCTTTCAGGCTTATGACTCGGTGTGGGCTCGACATTAGTATTGTCCTCTTTAGTTTGGGTGGCGAAGAGATAAACATGACAGTCATCAAATACGTCCCCAAGAACTTGCTTATCGGCTGGTGTGTCAGGTTTGTTATCCACGACCAAATATCCAAACGGTTTTTCGGTCTCTTTGTAATAAGCATTCATAAAGTGGACTCTGTTCTTATCAAACATGCGTTCTCCAACGATACCAATTTGTTTCCTATCACTAGGACTTCGGAAGAGAGCGAGATATTGGGCATTTCGGCTAATATCTGTATTAAATTTGCCTTTGGGAAACATGTTCTGGAGCAAAAGGATAACACTCGCGTTTCTATGACGACCCTGGGTAAATAATCGAGATACCACAGGACTGTCTGTCGCTTCAGCCATCAGATCGTCCAGTATGATGATGTTGTTGTACCGCGTATGAATCTCGCTCATGTTCTCGGACAGCTCAGGCAAACCTCTCTCAAACTGGATGCTTTTTCCGAGGGATTTACTCAAACTGTCGTAACAATCTTGCCACTGGTTGTAGTACCAAAAAATACGAATACGTTTTTGCTCATCGTACACGATACGATTCTTTTCCAAAATTTGTTGTACAAAATATGTTTTTCCACTTTGGCTCGGACCCACGACCAATAGCGAAAATTTATGGCGGAAGTTGAATTCCGGATAGGGTTTGGTGGTCAGAGATGCTTGTGCTGTTTTCGGTTTCTTAGTTGGCAAAGAGTATGCCCTTCTGCTCACACGCTTTTCTCCCTGCTTTTCAGAGTTCATGTACGGAGATTTGTCGATGTAGGGCTGCCATGACGACACCTTGGCTTGCTTAAGATAAGGTTTTCTCTCCTTGGATTGTAAACCGTGAACTTGTAAAAGATGTGTACTGATATTCTTCAAATCAGGCCGACCGCAAAGCGGACAGGTCCGGCGAAATCGTCTCTGCATCACTGCTCCGGCAAATGATTCAAGTTTGCATAGAAACACGGTTCTATGTATTGTTGCTTTCAGGAAGAGCTTCTGTGAAGCTTCACAGAAGCTTTACAGAAGCTTCACAGAAGCTTTACAGAAGCTTTACAGAAGCTTCACAGAAGCTTTACAGAAGCTCTTCCTGAAAGCAACAATACATAGAACCGTGTTTCTATGCAAACTTGAATCATTTGCCGGAGCAGTGATGCAGAGACGATTTCGCCGGACCTGTCCGCTCTGCGGTCGGCCTGATTTGAAGAATATCAGTACACATCTTTTACAAGTTCACGGTTTACAATCCAAGGAGAGAAAACCTTATCTTAAGCAAGCCAAGGTGTCGTCATGGCAGCCCTACATCGACAAATCTCCGTACATGAACTCTGAAAAGCAGGGAGAAAAGCGTGTGAGCAGAAGGGCATACTCTTTGCCAACTAAGAAACCGAAAACAGCACAAGCATCTCTGACCACCAAACCCTATCCGGAATTCAACTTCCGCCATAAATTTTCGCTATTGGTCGTGGGTCCGAGCCAAAGTGGAAAAACATATTTTGTACAACAAATTTTGGAAAAGAATCGTATCGTGTACGATGAGCAAAAACGTATTCGTATTTTTTGGTACTACAACCAGTGGCAAGATTGTTACGACAGTTTGAGTAAATCCCTCGGAAAAAGCATCCAGTTTGAGAGAGGTTTGCCTGAGCTGTCCGAGAACATGAGCGAGATTCATACGCGGTACAACAACATCATCATACTGGACGATCTGATGGCTGAAGCGACAGACAGTCCTGTGGTATCTCGATTATTTACCCAGGGTCGTCATAGAAACGCGAGTGTTATCCTTTTGCTCCAGAACATGTTTCCCAAAGGCAAATTTAATACAGATATTAGCCGAAATGCCCAATATCTCGCTCTCTTCCGAAGTCCTAGTGATAGGAAACAAATTGGTAACGTTGGAGAACGCATGTTTGATAAGAATAGAGTCCACTTTATGAATGCTTATTACAAAGAGACCGAAAAACCGTTTGGATACTTGGTCGTGGATAACAAACCTGACACACCAGCCGATAAGCAAGTTCTTGGGGACGTATTTGACGACTGCCATGTTTATCTCTTCGCCACCCAAACTAAAGAGAACAATACTAATGTCGAGCCCACACCGAGTCATAAGCCTGGAAGAAAACAACATAAACATCAGAGGTATATTACCTGGTCGGATGCAACTATTCCCGAGCGGCGAAACTACACTTTGGGAGCACAGGTGGTCCGTAACATTCCCGAAGGATATGTTATCACAGAGATGTATAAGTCATCGAGCAATAGTTTTGATCCTAGTCATCCGGGTGTCTACATCGGCGGAGAAAATTATTGGCCTGTCAAAATAGTGAACCAATCTACGGGTCGTATGAAGTGGGTGAATCTGCACGAAGACGAGCCAACGGTCCGAACCTTTGTTAAAGAAACCTGAATGAACAATAAAGCCAAACGACTCTTTAAAAATAACAAAAACACCTCGACGTTACACTCTTAGAAATAGACCGTATAAATTTTGTAAAACGTTTTGAAGAAATAAATGTATTTTAAAACTAAAATCTTGTGTAAGCTTTTGCCTGCAAAGCCCGGCTCTTTCCGCCCGCGCGACCCACCCGCGTGATTAGTGTACAAATATGTTGTACGTTAATATATGCATGCACCCAAGCGTCGCTAAATGCATATCAACGCAAATATAACACATAGCAACGTATACAACGACCGCATATTTGATTAATTTTTTTATGGCAAAATATATTACAACTGTTCTAAAAGTTTTTTCCTTCAAGTATTCTTGATAAGTTTTCTTATGATCTGACTTGGTCATCTTAACAGTATATATGTATGTAGGTTGAACAACATGCAAATATTGACCATAGCAACGACGTTGACAACCATGTTAACTTAGCAACTGTCTAATAGGTCGCGTTACCTGTCACATTCGGCCCAGGCTTGCCCGCGTTAATTGGTCGCGCTACTCGCCCATTTTGGCCCAAGTTTAGGGTTAGCGCAAAGTGACGTCGCAGATTGCACCAATTACTTCCGCCGCCAGAGTGGGGGTATTACTACTCAGGGGCTTGAGAAAAACAATGATGTGGCAAGGAGTGTCGTTCTGCGTAAATCAAATAACAAAAATCCTGCATCTGATGTCCTCCAATTAGAGTTCAGGCAGTGGGAATTGCGCGGAAGCGAGCGAACAAAGAGGTTATACAACAAAAAGGATAATAATTACTGGGAAGTTGAGATTAAAAACAAAAGAAGAAGGGACAGTTAAAATACCATAATTATGTACATACATTTATATATAATCCATTATTAATTAAAAATCAACAAAATATATAACTAGTTGGTTAGTTGAAATTAACCCATTTTGGCCAAGACAGGCCATGTTTTGTCATATAATCAAATGCTGATGTTTATTAAATATTAATACTGTAGAGGCAAGCTTACCAAAAGCAACAGAATTAATTAACATATGTAAAACTTTAAACGCACACAGGCACCGTTTGAGCGATGCTATTTAGTACGATATGTTACAATATGTTCAAAATTTAAACTTGAATCAATAGTTCTGGAACAAATTCAAGTTTGTTGATTTGTAATTGGCCAATATCACACTATTTAAATAAAATCGCTCAACCGGTGATTGTGTGCCTTTAATTAAATAAGTTTCCCAGAGTGACACTCTCTTATATTGGGGTTTGGTAAAAGTTGTGCCTGAGTCTTTGGCAGAAATGGGTTAATTAAGCATATTATGTATTACTCTAAAAAAAATTAAATTAATAATATATACAGTAATTATAAGCTAAAAGCATTTTTACAAATTGAGATACTCAGTTTCTCAGGCCGATACCTGGGGCGCACAACAACTTGACCATCCTTAAGGATGTAGGTTTTAGGGCTCCATGAGAGGAATGGTCGAAGTTTGACTGGAAAGTCTATCTTCAAGCCATCTCCTATAGAGTCCGCTATCTTGTCCCAATCCCCTGGGAAATCGCAAATCTGAAAATCAGACTTCTCCAAGAGAACTGCACCTCTTTCATTGCTGATCTCCCCCTTTCCACCAAAAAAGTAGCGAAATACATCATGCCGAAAAGGAATGACTGTTGGCAGCATACTTTTTTATTTCAGTTGTTCCAGGATGCCGCATGCCAAAGAATCCCTTGCATCCTGAATCATATTCTCTGCCGGTGCTGGGTTTTCAAAAGCTCTGAAGTGAAAGACAAAATATTAAATACATTTTAAGAATACATGCATCCCTTTCAAGAAGAAAGACCATGGGAATGAGGTTGAGCTTAACCAACAGTCTAACTAGCACAAAGCTAGTCTATATAAAAACAACAAATTCTTATTTGCCTACAATGTTTATAGTCGTGCTAACAGCTAAAGTTACTTTAAAACAAATCAATGTTACCTTATTGCAGCAGCATTCAGGTTCTCCTCTGGCTCCCAAGTGTTTTCCAGGCTGGAATAATTTTTCCATTTTACATAATAATCTGCCTGTAATACAATATCAATATATTCGAGCGTTTATATATTTGATAAAACACATTTGTCACCAGAGATTGCCGACGAAATATGGGAGTATAGTTAGTGAACAGAAGCATATAAATTTACAAACGTATAAATTTACCTTTCCTCGTCGATTTCTTCGCGAAATTACCCGCTCGACCTCGAACAACTCACGCGATGACTTTACGGCCTTTCTTTTAATATTGGTCCTCGTTGAATATTCATAAAAATCAGCTGTGCTCAAGTTATTCAACTCTTTGTAAAAAGACATTGTTGATTTTTATGTTTACTACAAGTCACGCGAACGTGTCACGCACATGCGTGGAACATTTTTTGCGCCCGCGAACGGAAACGCTGACTGTCCGAGATTTCTAGCTATGTATAGGTTATCCTCCATATTAAAAGCCTTCTGAGTTCTGACGGTCCTTCAACCGCAGAATTACAAATATGCAAATTTGTTGTGTAAATCAAAACTCATAGCTAAATCTAAATCAAGATACGCGTATTCAAGTTACAATTTAACATATGTATGGCGCGCATCTTGTTCGCTTATAAATATTGTTATGCTGTCTAAAACGAAATAAAATTTACATATCACATTAAATTTACCTTATTGCACTTCAGAATAAAGATCTCGGCGCCAATACTTGTAGTCAAACAGTCAAACTGTAGTTTGTGCTACTCATGGCACCTACCAAATGCTCACTGAGTCGAACTCTCCGATATTTAGCGTCGATTTTCCTGCCAAGATCAGCGCAATAGTCTTGTAAGACAGCTAAATCATTCACCGCAAATGCGGATTGAACCAATTCGCGAATACTACAAGGACTGGAGCAGCAGACATTTCCGAATTTTCCGTAGAGCTCCAACATGGCACTTCAAATGAGCGCGCGCTCGGAAAGACTTTAGCTGATGCGTCAAATATTAATGATATTCCGACTAATGGGGTGCCCCTGACTTTTGTAAATCGGTCAGAACTCCCCACAGATCAGTCAAAATCGCAAAAAATCGCTTGTTTCCATGGCGATAAGCGTCTAGACCAATCAGAACACTGGATTTTGACTTCTTGACTGACCGGCTTTGCGTATGTCAGCTGCTCATTGACTTGACTAAGCTCGTCGGCTCAGCCACTGTATGAAATTTGATCACTGGACTACAGTTCGATTGGAATGTTAATTGCTAGCGCTGGATGATAATAGATATTGCACTATTATACGGTGTCGCTGCATGATAAAAAATAACTGGACTATTGGTCGAATATTTAAGACTTTAATTAAGTTTGCAATTTTTACGTTAGTCGCGTGACTGGTTTGACGACCCCTAGATCCGCCCCTGTTCTGACTTGATCGCATTAAGACGCAATTTCCGTCTTAAGTCATCTGTAATATAAGATCTCTGACTACCGCTGTCAAATAGTATGCGAACTGTTGACGTTTTCGAGCCGCCTTCATTAGTTGCTATGGCGCGCGCTGTCTGGAGGAGAACCTGTTTCTTATTTGTAATTTGAGACCATGCAGTAATTGTACAGTTCGTGCTCCCCGCGGTGCAAACTTCGTTCTTCGTTTCTTCGTTAGACTTATCGCCGCTACCGTCTACTTCGCGCCGCGTAAACGTTTTGCTACAAATCGACTGATGATGACGCATGCCACAATTACGGCATTGTTTAGGACTTCGGCAGTCTCTGACCCCGTGACCTTGACGCAGACAATTATAACAGCGTCTCGCCTTGCATAAAATTTCGTTACGTTTGACAGGATCAGTCACTGATTGACATGACGCAGAATAATGTGATTCGTTACAATATGCGCATTTAATTTTAAACTCCCCCGATTCCCGAGTCACCAAGGTGCTACATGTCGCATATGGAAACTTTCGACTAGCTGTCTCTCCCTGCCTTTGACGTTCGCTAACCTTAAATTGCTCACTCGCTTCTCGTACTTCTATTTCTACGCGCAAAGTTTCTAGCAGTTCGTCTATTTTCCACACTTCACCCTTCGACTCTCTCGCAACTCTCATTCGCAAATCGTTCGGCAATTTAGACATCAGAATCGGGATTAGCAAACTATCGTATTCTTTCTAGGATACTCCTAACGCGTTTAAGCCGCGAACGTGTACGCTTATTTTGTCGTACACATACCGAAGCGACGACGACTTGTCGCCACTACAACTCGGAAGGCGCAGAAGTTCATCCATGTGTGCGCTAATGACTTTCTGCGGCTTTCCAAACTTCGCCTGCAATAATTCAGTTGCGGAATCGTAGTTCGCTTCGGCAAGTGCAAGACCCTCAATCGCTCGGGCCGCTGGCCCTTCTAATAAAGATTTTAAGTAATTGTTCTTATCTATTTTGGATAGCGCTTGATTCGAATGTACAGCAGAGTGATAACTGTCCCAGAAAGAACTCCACTTTGTCACTTCGCCCTTGAAATGAGTTAGTTGTAGTTTTGGTAATCTTGTTGATGTTATGTTCACTGGTCCACTGATCCCACTCGAGTTGCCAGCTTCGACATTTACCTGTGTGCTCGTATTAGTGTTCGCTCTGATAGCGCACTCGATTTTCTCCTTCGCTTCGGTAATGTTCATCACAATGACCTCGCTTTCATCGATTTCCTTCTCAATATCTTCGATTTTTACTTCGTTTAAGATCTTTGCGTCGAGTTCGTTTAGTGTTCTCTGTTTCCATTCGAGTTTTAGTTTCAAAGCATTAAGTTTCGTTGTTGATTCGCTTGATAAAGTCGTACTTAGTATACTATTAATTTCGTTTATAGACTTGGTCGCTGCAGCCCGGTGGCCGCGTCGGATTGCGCGTAAACGCTTTAGACCTTCGTTTACTGACATTGTATCACTCGTATTGATTTCGTAGTTTCGGTAAAACACTACTACATCTATTTGATATAGTGCCCCACGTTGGGCGCCATTTTATGAACGATGCGATTTTCGTTTCTTTGATTATATTAAAACACAATTTGGTCTACAGACAGGTCTACATTTTTTACACACAAAAAACATCTAACAATAACAATCCCAATATTTTACGTTACACCCTATAATCACGTGGTTAACTTGCGTCATCTATATGTCATATTCATGCATATGATTAACCATGCAAGGAGTTCAATCTCCATGGCAACAAAACTGTTAATATGTAATGGAAATAGAAAGAATAAAATATCCCATTCATGACAATCAATTACTTTACAGCTACGTTGATGCATCTTTAAACCACGAGCGCCTTTACACACTTTACCGCAACAACATTTGACAACTTTATATGAACTGGCTGGTATAAACATTCTTGAGTACAAATTTCAACGGCAGGAACTTTATTTTGCTTTGATGTTTGGTCAAAATCAACCTTATTTTTACAGCGCCATGTATGACGGCCCAGTGAAGCAAGGTCCTTTCCACAAAATCCACATATAACCAGAGTTGAAAACAAGGCAAGCAAGCTTGCACAAATCATTCTTAAATAATTATATTAATAGAACAATCGTATATTAAATGTAACAATTCAAGTTGAAATTTTTTCATTAAAACAGAGGAAATGTACAGACAACGTGTTAACGCGTCTGCTCTATGTTTATGTATAATAATAATGGAAACTTTATTAAATGTTTTTCTTTACATACATATACAATCGTAAATCTCTCTCATAAAGGTAACTTACGGTTGGTTATTTGAATCACATACTAAACTAAACTAAAATAACAGAACAAAGTGCATGCGATATATATATATACAATGAGATAAGTCAAATTGTTAGTAAATCCGGATTTTCCCATTCCTTATTTCGGCAGCAAAAAATGTAATATGTAGTTCTAATAGCAATAGTCATCATTTTCCTAATTATAACGCAGTACATTTGGTGGTTTTTGTCAAGACCAATACTTTCTAACATGTCTAAACATGTATAACATTCTTCTGCAAAAATACCTAAAGAGCTGATGGAGAGATTTATAAATTTAACTTGGTTAAAATTTTTACCTAGCTGTCTCAATAATTCTCTATATTTATCCTTCTTCCGTTTTACGTTGTTTTTGAGATTTGTCTCATAACCAGTGGTGAGTTCTACCACATATAAGGAACCATTTGAGCACGATAATAACAAATCTGGGCGATACGTATCACCAGTAAGTATTGAAGGGCTTTTGAATCCATTTAGATCAGCGTAGAGAGTAGAACCGTCAACGGTTTGTAAAGTATGAGCAAGAAAGTTCAGGATTGAATTGTGTCTCCACGTAAATCGGTCGAGATAAAACTGACGTCCAGCTACTATGTGTAGTAATGTTTCAGGGCTAAGACAAAAAGAACAGTCTCAATTTGAAGATATTGCCCATCTGTTCAGGTTTTTGCGCGTCGGAAGAGTGTTGTTAATGTAACGAATGGTAAAGTTGTAAATGTTTTTCGGGAGCTTTAATTGGGCGATGGACCGCACCTTGTTAAGCTGAGGTAAAGCGAACTTCGTGACGCTGCAGAAAAAGGAGCCTTGACTGGTTAATTGGTTTAGGAGTTTGTTTTCGTGTCCAGAACGGAAATCTTTGAGAACTTCCTTAGTAGAGTTATAAGCGTCATATTGGACATTAGTATGGTTACTGGTTGCTCTCCACAGGTCGTTAGTTGATTCATTAGTGTTTCTGATATTGGTACTTCAAGCCATCTGCGGATATGTTTGTTGGCAATAGAATCGATAGTTTCAGTAACCCATGTTTTAGAGAGTGTTGCGACGGTAAAGTGCCAGGCTAACTTGGACAAGACGTAGCGACTGTAGAGGAGCAGTTTATTTTTGGGGTGTATTGGCTTTGAGTCAATATCAGACATTAGTTCATTAAGTAGGGTGCAGGGGCGGATCTAGCTTAAAATGTGACCGTATCATATTCCTAGGTCTCGCCTAACTAGGGGGGTCCGAGGGCATGCCCCCCCCCGGAATTTGTTTGAAATTTGAACCCCGGAAATGCCATTTCCTGCGTTCTGAGCCCATGATTCTGGCCTAAAATTTGGCCTTAACAAGGTCATATTTTAAACACAAAGTAACAAAAAAACACACAATAACTCTTCTTGGTATCAGTGTTCAAGTTTCTGTTTCATGAAACGTGGCCGGGGGCTTTTTGACATAGAAATGTCGGCTTTCGCGACTGAGTACATTTAATATTCTCGACCGGTCTCTATTTAAATTAATAGAGAGGTTAAGATACCCCGGTTCCGGTTTACGGGTACGAGTATCGCCATTTTGTTTACTTACTCAACTTTTGCTGATGTCAGCATTTTTACCCGTAGTTTCTACCCGTTTCCCCGCGGTAAACCATGGTCTACACGCAAAAGACAAACGGGTACGGGTGTTTTCTGTTTACTATTTGTGGGCCGTTTAAAGAGTAAAAATTTTCAATAGTCTTACCCCAATAAATTATGGACACATGCTCGTCAAAATTTTCAACAATTTATGGCGAACCTCAATAGCGAAAGTTACCATTTTCTGATCGGTTTTCTTACGCCGGAGTATCTTGCATTTCTTAAGTTACACGTTATTCCCCGATTTACGGCTACGGGTACGTGTATATTACCCGTATCCGTAAACCGGAGTATCTTAACCTCTCTAATAACATATTGCACGCGCAATGCCGCAATATGACTTTACAGATTAATATCTTCGGTTAGGCGAGTGCTATGAAAACAAAAATACTACCGTTCGGTTCATTGAAAGAATATCTCCTTATCTATTCTCCTAATTCCTAACGATAGTTTTAGTCAATATAGCGATTTATGAACTTTGAGAGGTCAAGCAATATCATATATTTCACTATATTACTCAATTTTCTCGAACAATGTAAACTAGCCATACCTTTCGCCGAACATAACTTCGGCCCCTTCGGACATATCCTTTTCGTAATAGTCTTGTTCTAATTGGCATCCAATACACTATTTTGCGAGCGATTCACGATTATTTCATTTCTTGCGCAATCAAAATACAGCCACAGTATCAGAGGGTATCCGACGTCATAGATACACGTCCTGTGATTGGCTGGATACCCTCCAAGGTATCCAAATTATCCAATTGTCAACTCGGATAATCATATCGGACCATTGGCAGCAGATAGAAAATCGATTTAATAGATGTTGGTTTTCGGATTCTTGGCCAGTAATTACAGCCGCGTCATCAGCAAACTGGAACCAGTGGATGGGATTTAGTAATTTGAAGGAAAACCCAAATTGACGGTACTTTTCAGCCTTGATATGCTGAATGAATGTATTGAAGCACATGTTAAAAAGAAGAGGACAGAGGCAATCTCCTTGCAAAACGCCACGGCCAACTGTCATAAAAGTAGTGCGGAATTCAGAGGTAATTATCGAGGTTTGGAAATCAGTATATAAACTTTTTATAACAAATTTTATATGATCAGGGATATGGTGGTAGTCAAGTACGGATTGGATGAGGTTGTGATGGACCGCTAATACATAATTACCGCGAATACCGCTCCCCTCCCCTCCCCTCCCCTCCCTCTCCCCCACCCCAGTCAATGTTGTTTAAACCAAAACACATCAAACCTGACGAGAAATGGGACACAACGTTGAACACTAGGGGGGGGGGGATTGTCGTTTGTTGAAATTCAAAGGTTTTGTGGCATCTGTCCCAAGACTTTTGAAATTGATTATATCTTTTCATATTTGTAACGTGCCGAGCACAATGCAAAACAAGTGCGTCGAGTCAAAGCCAGAGTGGCGAACCATTCATTAAAGTAAAGCACAATCTTATATAATACAACATTGCATGGGAGCCTTGGCCTCTCCCAAGAGAAGAACTACATCACAAACAACATAGTTTCGGTCGCCTAATCCTATTACTGTAATTTCGATTTACTTCAATGCTACACTTGCCATAACGCAACGAAAACAATTCACGAAAATATTTAATCAAAAATCTTCAAAATGTTAGGTTTTTCCCGATTTCGACCATTCCCTGGCATTCCCCGGCCATTCCCCGGCCATTCCCCGGCCATTCCCCGGCCATTCCTCGGCCATTCCGCGGTCATTCCCCGGTCATTCCCCGGCCATTCCCCGGTCATTCCCCGGTAATTCCCCAGCCATTCCCTTCCCCGTTCCCTTCCCCGTTCCCTCCCCCGTTCCCTTCCACGTTCCTTTCCTCTATTCCCCGTTCCTCGTTTTAAAGATAGCCCATTTGTGCAGTATGTTCCAGAGTGCCAGATAGGTTAGGGGTGAAGTATTTTTGTATGTTGTGTTCGACGAAGTTATTAGATGCGAGGAAGGAGTATACTGCGTTTCGAAGACAAGATGTAAATACTTTTGAAGGTATGGATTCGAGTGTTATGGGGCGGAAATTTGAAGGGTCATTATTGTTGCCTTTCTTGTGGATTAGTATGGTACATGCTCTTTTCCACTCAGTTGGGACAGTTCCAGATAGCCAATATCGTGAATTAATAATAATAATAATAATAATAATAGTCTTTATTAATCAATATTCGGAACACACGTCCGAGTTTACATGGAATTATAAGAACATAATCTATTTTGCATTAATTATTTACATCAATAATTTAATAAAACTAGTAAAATTCTATAATATTGTTAAAAATTATTAAAATGTATCATACACTAGATAAAATTGAAAAGACATCTATTTACAAAAGATTTTTTAAATCTTTCAGTTCTTACTAAGGGCAGCTCAAAGTCATGTCCCCTTTGCCTTAACGTTCAATTTAATTTATTTGGTAAAAGTTCTCTTAGTGCATTATTTTCATCATCTAATATTTTTTTCCATAATCTCTTGTCTCTCTTATTAATTATTTCTCTAAATTAGATTTCTCTGTTACATACCCATTACGGTA